GTGTGAGCCCACAGGTGAATGCTGGCTCAAGCCTGACAGAGGAAGCAGTTCCTGGTTCTCTTTGTACTTTCAGGATCCCTGTGGTTCTTTGCTCCATGTAAGCATCACAAAGACTTCCTGTGTCATTGTCACCGTGTCGGGAAACTGCAGTCTCAGTCCCTGAGGTGAAGCTTTTCTTCTTCCTCCACAATCCTTACAGTGTTTGGCTCAGAAGTTCATTTTGTGTGTTTATGTGTGATTCACAGCACACACGTGGAGGTCAGGGGGCAGCATGTGGAAGTCAGTTTTTTTTTTTATCCAGAGACAGGGGCTGTCTGACCTGTTGGCAGGTGCTTTTACCCACTGAGTCTTCTCTCCAGACCCCTCTCTATTCCTAATGTTGAACAATCTCTTCGTTGTTCAGATTAAACACATCTTTCCTCACTCCTTCTCCATGTTCTTACATCACTTCCTTTTGAGTCAAATTACACAGACTGACTGAGAAAGTCAAGTGTTCATTGGTCTGGTCTTCTATGTCAGCTTCTAGAAAATGGCTGTAACAGGAGAGGGTGAGACTCAGAGAAGCAGTAGATGTTGCCTACAAACAAGTCCCATCACATGAGGAAGACAAAGAGCCGGAAGGATGGTTAAGAGACTTGCTTCCCTTGCAGAGGATCCTGGTCCCTCACCCAACACCCACTTCATGGTCCCTCCCTAACTATAATCATAACAATGGTGCCATAACACTGGGCAGGCTCTTCTGGCATTTCTTCATGTCTGCCTTCATTTGAGGATGGCCAGAACCCTGTAACTTTCAATCTGATCCAACTAAGGGTCGCTGGAATTCTACACCCAATACTGGCAAAATCAGCAGTGATAGTAGGCTCCTTCCCTTACCCACCTCATGCCTGTTTCTCATGACTGAGAATTCACCTCTTGACCACGATTTCTCATCTCCCAGCTCCAGTCGAAAGTCCCAATACTGGTCAACCACATGGCTCTCAGGCTTAGATCCCTTCTGGGCCCTTTGTACCCACATGAAGGTGTTGGTTTGCAGCCTGGGCCCACTCACTTACCACTGCCCCTGCAGGTGATGGCCCAAAGCCAGCTTGAGTCATGGTTCATGCTAAACTTCTGGGACGATGGAGGAGTTCAGTCTCTAGACCTTATCTCTACCTCACTCATGGAAACTGTGCCTACCCCAAAAGATAGCAATCCAAACAGCTGCTTCCATATCCCGTCACCTCACGGGGCTTCTCTGCCAGGACGCAATAGCTGGAAATGTGCGCCCTGCAGCTGCAAGCTCTTTCTGCTTCTCTCCCTGTTTCCTTTCCTTGTCTGTCTGTCTCCTGTCCCTGGCATGTGACCCGGCCATGATAAATCTCTTTTCTGCCCACCGCAGCCACAGGGGCCCCTGCCTTCTCTGACAGTGGCTAACTTTGGCCACCTTTTGCTTTGGTGGCAGGATTCTCTTTCCACCTGGGAATGTTCTCATCCTTTTCAAAATGTCTCACTCTTCTGTTTATCTTTTCCTTGCTGCCATCTGTGGCCATCCCTCTTCCCACCACCCCCAGCTGTGGGCTGGCAGAGCATGTTCAGGATGTAAGTGTGAATTGTGTGGCCTCATGTGTGAGATTCTGAATGCCTGTATCCTTTATGTGTGTCTTTCTAAGGGCATATGGTTGAAAATCTATGCAGTGCCTTGCAACATGTGGCCAGGCATCATCTCAGCTAAGGACAGGTCAGAGGACCTAACAGTCATCTTTGCTAAGAGTGACCATGTGACTTCTGCCTGCTATCTCTCTAGCTTGCCCTCCTGGCTTGTAGGGCTCCAACCACCTGCCTGCTCCATCTGCAATGGATTTGTTCTCTTCGACCTGCTAGGAATCTCCGACTTTGATTCTCCACTGTCTTTCTTTTTTCTGTCTCTCTCTTTAGATGTCCTATCTGTTTGATACCATGTATGAATCAGAAATGGAAAAGCCGGCTTCCTCTCCCTCACTATTCACATGATTTTTTAGCTAACTTCAACTCTGTTTGTGTTTGTATATGTGTATACACCTTAAATCCAATTTCGTGTATATGTACATGTACTTACCGTTAAAAAATGTTTGAACAGTCCTAATAAACTCTGTTCATTGTATCTCCTTCAAGACAAAAACCAAGTGTCAAATATTTAGTATGTGCTTTTAAATGATGATAACAATATGGTTAGATCTGTTACCACACCAATGTATATATGATTCAACCTTGCTTTGGATGTGATAAAAAAACTTGAAGGTTATAAAGATTGATTTGAGATTAACAAACACTAACCTAGAGATCTCCTGTAAGATATTCTCCACTACTGTCAGGACAGTTCCACAGAGCCTGGAGAAAGCGAAACAACCAGATACCCTAGGATATGGACAGCATCCCGGTTTTCTCAAGTGCTCCCCCATGATTTCAAAGCCCAAAAATCAGCAGGAAGAAGTCTTGAGAACCTGGTTCCCCTATCCCTGTCCCACATGCTATTTCCTTTAATCTCCCCACCTTTTATACTGAGAAAAAGATGGGTGTAGTAGAAGGTGCGGGGTCCTTGTTCTGTCCTGCTCAGCTAGCGTACACCCGAAATAACCACATGGAAATTGTATTAATTAAATTACTGTCTTGCCTCTTATTGGCTAACTCTCACATCTTGGTTAACCCATTTTCATTAATGTGTATTGCCACTTGACTGTGGCTTACTTGCATGAGTCTAACCAGGGTCCATCTCGGGCAGATGTATCATGGCGTCTGCCACACTTCCCTTCTTCCCAGCATTCTGTTCTGTCTACTCCACCCACGGAAGGGCTGCCCTCTCAAAAGGCCAAAGCAGTCTCTTTATTCAACCAGTGAAAGCAACACAAAAACAAAAGAAGCTCCCACACCATATGGGAATGTTAGGATACAGGTATTATGCTGGCCTGCCCTGTCATCTGGCAGGATGCACCCAGGCAGTACCCTGGCCAGCCCAGGGTCCTACTCTTGACACAGGTACAAAAGGTTCCTTTAAGAGACAAGCTCCTACTATTCATTTCCTGCTGCTCTTTTGAAGAGGCGATCAGGGTTTTGCTCTGCCCACTTCTCTCCTTCCCCTTCCTTCTTCTTGTTCTCCCCCCTTTCTCCGACTCTCTCTTTTCCTCCCTCCCTTCTACCATCCTCTTAATAAACTCCACACTCTAACTCTGTCTATATGGCATATTTGGACCCACAAGCAGCAAAGATCTCACTTGCGCGGTCCTCACCTGCCGTGGGACACACAAAGGTCCCAACTCACACCAAAATCATAAAACGACAACCTAAAGCTCTAGTTCCCTGAAACTCACTGTCCTTTTATGGTCTGTGTGGGGACTTGTACAAATGTGGCATTCACTCACACAGACACATACATATAAGTGATCATTATATGAGGAAAAACATGTTATTTAATAATATGTATCAAAGTACAATACACATCATTTACTTAAACGTTTTGTATATACAGTGCAACCAAGCAAAATATAAATACTTATTCATCATTGTAAAGTTTAGCCATGATGCATCCAAAATTTTACAGGGGTTTGGTCAGATATAACAGAGTAGGTTTTTTTTAAATAAGACATAAACCTACCTCTAATGATTCTACAATTTCATGTTCCATGATTATATCAATTATTATTTTTCAGAATGGGTTTTTCAGAGTCCTAGGACCATGTCAATATCTTATTGTGTTGACCCAACTTAAGAAGTCCAGCAGTGAGCTGGGCGATGGTGGCACACGCCTTTAATCCTAGCACTCGGGAGGCAGAGGCAGGCAGATCTCTGTGAATTCGAGGCCAGCCTGGTCTACAAGAGCTAGTTCCAGGACAGGAACCAAAAGCTATGGAGAAACCCTGTCTCGAAAAAATCCAAAAATGAAAAAAAAAAAGAAAGAAAGAAAAAAGAAATCCAGCAGTGAATCCTTCATTTAAGTGAATGCAGAATCAGATCCTTTCGCAGCTCCTTGATGGCAAACAGCTGGAGAGTGTTGTGGGGAACAAGCAGGACATTGACAAAGAGCAGCTGTAATCAAGCCTCAGTAGAACTCAGTTAACACTACTTGTTAATCTTGCAAAAAGGCAAATCCATATTTTGTAATTAACATAGAAAGTATAGATGGATATAAAATGAAACTTTACTGTGTATTCCTTATCTAGTTTAACCCACCCATGTCTACAATCTTTACTCTTCCCAAGAACCTTCATGAATATAACACCAAAGAAAAATTTCAGTACATTTAACCTCTGTGACTGGTGCATTGGGATTCTATGAAGTGAACGAAGTTCATATCATTTTTTCACAATTCTGTAATATATTTTCTACAGATGGAAACATGTAGACAAATTCAAGAACCCCAAATTGCATCATAGCTAAACTAACATTTAGCAAATATAGCATCAGGTACAAGATAGGAATTTCTTTGGATATCATGAGTAAACCACTATGAAATTGATAAATTTACCAAATTCATCTGTGCATTTCCAGTCATGGTGATAGTAAATCAAGTTTTACTAAACATAAATAAGACCATATTTTCTGTACTAGAGACATGGCTCAGTATTTGAGAGCACTAGCTTGTCTTACAGAGGATGCAGGTTATCCTAGCAACCACACCTTGGTGCAGAACAACCTCTCTAACTCCAGCCAATCACAGGGTGTTTGATAACGTCTTCTATCATTTACATTCACCAAACACAGATGTATTACGGAGAGAGAATGCAGATAAACTATCCATACACAATACAAATATAGAAAAGTTTTAGAAAAACTTTCAAAAGAGAGTAAAAATAAAGAATGAGGTTTCGTTTATCACTGTAATTTACTAAGATCTCTCAAGGGTCCAGGCTGTGAGTCATCCGGAAGATTTTGTGAGAATAAAATCACACCTAACGTGCTTTGTGAGATAAAAGTCATATCCACAATGCTGCAGGACTGAGAGCTCTTTCACACTGACTGAATAGACAAAGGAGAGAGACATTTTCTCAGTTTCTCCCACTGAGCATGCCAGCAATCAGGCAGAAGTCGATCCCTATGAATAAGCACAAGAGGGCTAAAAGTTGCATAACCCAGTGCCAGAAATTCTTGAATATTTATCATCCACGAATAATCCACTAAAGAGACACTTAAAAATAGAGAAACAGCACAGTCAGTCCAATAGAAGAAAACAAAACAGAGCATCAGAAGGAGGACACTCTGAGCAGCTCTCAGCTCAGGGGGAGTTCTGTAGAGAAGCTTGGAGTTCTGGAGGTGGAGGACATGCTGGTGGTGCTTGTGGAGAAGAAGTACCATGTAGACACTGGCGCCTCCCATGGCTCCCTGAAACACAGCATCTCTCAGGACCATGAGAGGGGGAACAAACCACTTTATTTTCTGACTTTCTAGCATAACAGAGCAATAGTTGTTTTCACTCGTAAACTGTGATATATTCAGGATTCTACTTGTGACCGGATGGATTAGGCGCACACTTAATAAAGCATTGAGTATCCAAAAGAATGAAAAGAATGGAAGGATGTGCCATGCAGACTGTGGTCTGAGCCTCCTCCATCCACATGCTCTGGGACTGATGATGATGGCCTGGACCACAGTGAGGAGACTGCTGGTGCAAATGGAGACCCCACGGGCCACCCTCTGCAGGTAGATGAAAATCTTACATCCTCTGTCACCTAGGAAGTTTTTCAAACCAAAAGCTACCATTGTCTTTGGCAATCCTTTTGCAAGAAGGATTATGATGTTTGTAAAAGCCAAGTGGATGAGAATAAGGTGGATGGGTTTCTTCTCAGGCCCTCTCCACCAACCGAACATATAAATCACAGAAACAGAACTGTTTCCCCCCATGCCAACCACAGTCAAAAAAAAGAAAATTATTTCTTTAATAAATTTTAAGAGCATTTCTTCCTTTCTGGATAGAAAATCTTGTATTCAGGATACAAAGAGGTTTTTCTAGAAAGCATTAGTAATGCTAGACATTTATTTGAAAAACATTTTTGCATAATAGCATTTTCTGGTATATGAGAGTCAGTGATGGACACATGTGCTGCTGTAGACTGGGTCCCCGAACTTTTCCTCTTCATGTGGACTCTGAGTTATGTGTGTGCTCTGACAGGTGAGCTTGGAAACTGGAATAAAACTCTGAGGTTTTAAAGGAGGTGTGTTTTAGTTCTATAAACAGCTATTATATCAGCTCGTTTTGCAGCTTGCTTTTCTTCCGACCTGTTTGTCAGGCAGACTTGTTTTCTATACACCAGTCCAAGCTGATTCTAGAACTTGGACTCAGGAAGGATGTTATTCTTCAAGTTCTGGAGCTCCATTCTCATTTCTCTGGGATTGTGGTAAGCTTTGGGCACCTTTTCTAGGATATGAAAAATCTGAATATTACAGTGACCACATGGGTTTGTGTGTTCTAAGTACTTGCAATGTCTCTGCTCACTGCGCTCCTTTTTGTTAAACTCCTGGATTGCTTTAATTATCTAAGTACCGATGATCTTATCAGTGACTTTCATCAACCTAGCCTTGTTCTGAGATTTGCATCCAGCTGGCATCATGACTCTAGAAATAGCAGTTATTGCTTTCAACTGCTCCTCTAGCAAAGAGGTAATTATTGCCTGTGTAAGTGAGTCCTAGAAGGCACAATACCATCTAAATATCTGTACAAATGAAGTATGCTCCAGATATTAATAGAAAACACATCAGCATTCACTGCCATATTTAGAATAAAAAATTAAGTGTTTTGGCAGTGATTGTAATCTGTCAAAATTTCCATTTTCAGTTCACTCAAGTACTGAAAGAAGATATTAACAGTTTCCTGTTTGTTCAATCCTTGCTTTGTGGAGGTTCCTACTTTTCTTGGCCTCTCTTCCCTTTTCCAAGCTTTAAGTCATATTTGAGACCGGGGTCTGACCTTCTAATAACTGATTCCTTTCCACTGAAGTCACTGTCAGTGGAGAAAGAGGTGTCTCATCTTCCACATTATTTGAAAAATGCTAAAGGAAATGAATTTGAAAGACAGAATGGACTTGTGTTTAGATGGATACATGATGCCAGGATGAGTCATACCCTCAAGAGCCTGAAGAAAATTACATCCACCCATCCTGGTTTTTTCTAAAAGAAACAAGCAAGCAGGCAAACAGACAAAACTAAAAAGATTGTTGTTCTTTGCTGCTTAACATGGGATAAACATAAGATGAGCTGTTTCAGGACGTACTCCTCAACAGACTGGATCTTAAATAGTGGAGTTCTCAAGATGGTAACGATAACTGTACACTGAGTGTTATGTTCTTCACCAGCCAGGCATACAATGACTGAATTTAAGACAAGTATTATAATAGTATGTGATAAAATCCAGAGCCTTTACGATAGTATTAACAGAAAATACTATGCCAGTACTAGAAAAGGGAAACTGCATCCAAAGAGAAAAGTGTAAATGTTACACACACTCGTGACACTGTTGAAGTCACAGTGCTGGAAAACTTACACCTGAAAGAAAGATTTTATTTTTTTTATTTTCTTTCAGGACAGAATTGTGTTTAGATGGATGGTTGGTTCCAGGATGTGTCTAACACCCAAGAGCCTGAAGAAAGTTACATCTGCCCATCCTGGTTTTCTCTAAAACAAGCAAGCAGGCAGGCAAACAGACAAAACTAAAAAGATTGTTGGTCTTTGCTGCTTCGTATGGCATAAACTTAAGATGAGCTGTTTCAGGATGTCCTCCTCCACAGCCTGGATCCAAAATAGCAGCAGTTCTCAAGATGGTAATGATAACTGTTACATTGAGTGTTATATTCTTCACCCAGCATGGCATACAATGACTGAATTTGAGACAAGTATTATAATAGTATGTGATTTAAAAAAAACTAGAGCCTTTAAAGACAGATACAGACAGAAAACTGTCAAACTCGTAGTTAGAAGGATATTATAAAACTATGCCAATATTAGAAAAGTGAAAATGCATCTAAAGAGAAAAGTGCAAGGCTTACACACACTAGTGACACTGTTGAAGTCACAATGCTGGCAAAGTTATACCTGAAAGAGGGTTTTTATTTTCTTTAATTTATCTTGTTGTTTTTGAGAGAGAGTCTCTCTCTGTAACCCAGGCTAGCCCTGAACAATTCTGTTGATAATGTTACAACAATGTATCATGATCATCTCCAGGATTTACAGACATCTGAAAATCTTATCTATCTTATTAAACCATTTAGAAATGTAACTTAGGCTAAGACCCAGCCTGAACTCTGTCTTGATACTGCAGCCTGAGGATGGAGAGCAAGGGCTCAGCATTTCTGTTCTGGCCAGGGCCAGAAGGAAAGTGGAGGTCCTGAGGATCACAAAGCCTCTTGCCTACTCCCTGAATTCGTCAGAGAGTCTTCTGCTTTAATGAAACTTTACATGACACAGCTGATCAGATTAAAGATCTTACCTCCATGTACTCACCTGGACCTCTGTGGTGCAGACAGGCTCTGGAGAAGCTCTGGGAAGGTGACACTTGTCAGGTCTTATTTAAACTGTCAGGATTTGTGGTGCTCTTGGCTGACATCAGATTTTGCAGACTTCAAGTTTCATGTGGTCACAGTGTCAGGGGAAGGAAGGCCTCTGCAGAGCCCCGGTCCCTGAAGTACAGCTTCCCTCTCTCCACGATTACTACATCTGTTTTGCTCAACAGTTATTTCGAGCTTCATTATGGTTTAATTATTTTGACAAGAAAAACAAGAAGTGAGAAAATGAACAACTAACTTAAGTTTCTGTGTACGGAGTGCCCTGCACCTTCTGACTGGTTTTCATCACCTCAAAGTGCTAAGCTGTGACCTGGGTAGGACTGGAAGTCAGAGAAAATAAATAGGAACAGAAATCTAGGCTTCAAAAGAAGAAGAGTCAGGAGTGAGAAAAAGAGGAGATGAGGAGACCAGGGGCCAACCATGCAACCACACAACCAGCCACAGAGTAAGAAGGAAAGAAATATATCTAGAATAAAGAAAAGTAAAAAGTCCAGAAGCAAAACATAGTTAAAGAAAAATGGGGTAATTTAAGTTAGGAAAGCTGGCTAGAAACAAGCCAAGCTAAGGCTAGGCATTCGTAAGTAAGAATAAGACTCTGTTCATATGGGAGCTAGGTGGCAGGCCTGCAAAGAGGCAAAGAGTCAAAATAACAAAAAAAAAATAGCCCTATATTTTCTCAATTGAGTTTCCTCTTCCCATATTACTCTACCATGTGCCTGCTTGGCTGGTGACTAACGAACCCACTGGCATTCCTTGTGTGGTTTGCGGACAGCTGTTTCATGAAAGAAGAGTTTCTTCTCACCTAGAAAATACTTTGAGCTTATGTCTCCCTGGGAAGAGGACCTTGTTAGTTTTTTGAGCTTCCCCTAGATTGTGAGTTTCCTTCCTCCATCCAGAGGGAATAATTCAATCTTAAGGAAACAGCTATGCAGCAATGCCCCATGATGCAATCTGTTAGTGTGGGATACTTCCACATCAGGACTGATAGCTGGATTGTGAGCTTGAGCCTCACCTCAATTATTGAACCCACATAGCAGCGTTTGGTGGAGAATTTATCTCTTGTACTTTCCTGTGTATTTTGTGACCATCATTCGTGGTTTAATGCACATACATTTTATTATTTATTTATTTATTTTCACAAGCTTCCTTAGCACTTTTGGAAATAGCACCAAGTTATGACCAGAGGAGGCCTCTGTCCTGCAGAGAGTTTGTTACTCTCTCTGGCCACCTTCACTGGGCCCTGTAAGCTGGACCCAGATGAGAGACATCTCCTGACTCGTCTTCCTCATTTTTCCTCTTATGCACATTGTTCCTGGGGGAGCCAGAGCAAATAACATACAGGCATATATTGCAGATTCAATGAGCCTGGGCTACAAACTCTTTATGTAAACCAGCAGCAGGTGTTTAAGAATCATTTTCTAAAGATATACAGTGTATGTGTGCTTTCCACTCAATTCTCTCTGAGAATGCACTTTGTTATAGTGTGGATCTAAGTTGGGGAACAGAAGAAAAAAATAACAAAGAAGGTAAGGAAGTTTCTCTTTAAAAGACTGAGAAATACCAGAAATAAAAGTTTAAAGATTCCCACTGATGTGCAGGGAAAATGCTCAGATACCATGCAGAGAGTAAGTGCACCCATACACCCTGGTCCAAAGGTCATGTGGGTCACATGTCCTCTCCCTCCTGTGCTGGATGAAAGGAGCAGTGCCCAGCACCATGGATCCAGTGCAGGGCTGCAGAGGACTCTTCATTGACTGAGGAGAGGTTTGGGGAGGGCAGTTAACATTGCAGAAATGATTCACTTCACTTTTAACCCATTTTTCTGACATGCTCTTCTATCACTGAAAATTACATTTCATGACTGAGCATGGCTGTTCATCTCTGGCTTCTAACTCTTGGGAGGCAGAGTCAAGGGGATTGCAACTCAGAGCCCATCAATTCCTACTTGTGAGACTTTGTGTTTCGGTTTGTTTCAAAGGAAAAATAATAAAATAGCTATGTGTCCTTAATCATGAATTAAATTTAAGCTCAGCATTGTTTTGCAAAGCACATAAAAGTCATTTATGTGACTGGATACATATGGATTTCCTTTCTAAGTTTGTCCTTTCCTGCTTATCTTTTTTTTTTCTCCCTCTCACCAATATGTGTGTCCTTCAAAAACCAACTGTGTTTGTAGGATCATGTTTTAGAAAAGGAAATCCAGGGGAAAATACCCAACAAATTCATAAGCTTGACAAAATTTGCCAAATCATTCCTGGTCCTTAATACTGGTAAAAACTCAGTCTCTGAGATTCCGCTTCGTCAGCTGATAGGATGGAGAATGAGGTGTCTATTTTACTGTGAACTTTAGGTCTGCTCAGAGCTTCAAAAATAATTGTGATTACTGACTGAAAAATCATCTGTTTAAGTTGCTGCAATGAGATT